TGACAGTAGACAGGCTGAATGACAACACCTACTTTTCTAGATCCAATCAGGTGCTATTTGGAAAAAAAGCAAGGCCCACTATTTTGCCTCATTTAGTATTCCGTTTCTCTCGGAAATACATCACAACACTGGAGAAAAGTCGTTTGCAACTTCCGGTTCACGGGGACTTTAAAGTCCCCCTTAAAGTCAATAATTTTACCTCTTAAAATTCATCTTTGATAATCATAATAACATATTTAAACGTTTTTCCTGTGAAAAATGTTTCTTAATGCCTTAAAATAGCTTAAATGTTACTCTAAACTCTTGCTTCAATCAGTTTAGGCGGGACCAAAAATATGCAAATTAGTCCCCGCCTCCACTCACTCACAGCATCTCAGATTACCTGATCCACTTGATCAACTGTAACAAATGCTGCACAATAGCAAGTGGAAATGCTGGTTTAATTAAAAACTTTTAAAAAACTCGTCGGAGTTCTCAGAGGCGGCAGGAAAACCCTGGACAGGCTTCGATTCAGGAATGATCCAAACCATCAGATACTGATCCACAGTGACAGGAGACACTTCAGGGTAATGTCTCGTTAGTTAATGATTAGCTAACATGAATTAACAATGAGCTTTATTTTTTTTTAAAGCATTTATTAATATTGTAACATTAGTTACTAAAAATGTAATTGTTCATTGTTTGTTCATGTTCACCAAAAAAATGTGTACAGTTTATAATACTAGATTCTCGAGATTTTTAGGCCTACGGTGAGCTTGAAAAAGTACTTTTCAGAATATTAGAAAGGTATATACATTTTATTTTTTTAAATAAAAACAATAACATGTCATAGTAATTGATGCAACAATTCATAGGAATAATGTTAATGCTAGCATATGCAAGGTTATTAGCAAAAAAAAAATTGCTTGTTATAGCGCCACCTTGTGACCTTTTTTAATACAATTTGTATCTATCTAGCCTCACTTCATGTCATTTTTATAATTATGTGACGTGCAGTTCTGCAGATGGATATTATTTGAGTCAAATCACATGTATTTCTATAGCCCATGCAATACAGACTGATTCAAAGCAGCTTCACAAGAAGCAGATTCAACAAATGTTACAAATTAACAACAAATAAAATTTAAGCTGTGATGCAGCTCTACAGAAGACAATAGTGTCATTATTCAGCTCAATTCAGTTCACTGTTGATTCAGTTCAGTTCTATGAGTGTATGTGTGTGTGTGTGAGTGTGTGTGTGTGAGAGAGAGAGAGAGAGAGAGAGAGAGAGAGAGAGAGAGAGAGTGTGTGTGTGTGTGTGTTTGTAATATAAACTACTTCTATATTTAAAGGTGTTAACTGTGTTAATTTTACACTGCAAGTTACAACTTAGAAATAATTAATTTAAACACAACAAATTGTGACATTTTTTTTATAATGAAAGAAGCACACAAAAGTATGACAGAGCACAAAAACAGACAATTAATTGTCAGACCAATTTCACATTCATGTCAGCCCTGTGTACAGAAGACAATATCTGATCATGTCAGTGGATGTAGTAACACTTCTGTCACAGTGTCTGGTTGTGTTCCCTTGTTTATCACTAGAGGGCCTCATTTTCACGGTGTCCTTCACATTTGACTTCAATTCCCAGCATTCTGTCTGTCACTGTCACTCATCAGTTCATTGCACTCAGCTGTTCCCCGTAATCATTGTTCCCAGCTGTTCTGTGTTAGTCTTGTTAGATATGTGTATATATTCCCTGTCTGTGTTAGTATGTGTACGGAGTCGTTGTTAATGTCTCACACTTCTTGGTTTGTTCCTGCCTGTTCTTTGTGTTCGTTGTTCTTGTTTGGATTGCTTGTATGGTATTTGACCCTTGCCTGGACTGGATTACGTTTCACGGATTACCCAATAAATATCTCACTGCACTTGGATCTACTGTCTCTCTCGTGTGTGTCGTGACAGAACGACTCCGTCCCGATGAATAGATCCAGCAGTTCGAGATTCCATAACCCTTCTCCTGTGTATGGGGAAGGAAGGGGACCACAGAGACGAGGTTCGCAGGTCGGGGAGGAAGCGCCTCGACTAAACATTTTTCAATGTTTTGGCTTATGGGCCCAGCAGACTGAGGAAGCAGCGGCGGCTAAGGCTTCAGCGAACTCGTCCATCAGAGATGGTGAGTCGTTTCTGGGGACTCGTCTGGCGAAGTTCTCCGGAACTCGGGGAGGTTGCAGGGGAGGAGGTGGTCGACAAATTCCACGACACCGTCCTCCGCTTTGCCATTCTTCTGATCCAGAGCCGCCGGACTGGTCCAGTACAAGATCCTCGCCGCTGGTTCCACCCCGCACAAAGTCATCATCGCGGGGCTCATCTAGCACAAGGTCCTCACCACTGGTGCCGTCCAACACAAGATCCTCGCCGCTGGTTCCGCCCAGCACAAGATCTTCGCCGCTGGTCCCATCCATCATAAAGCCCTCGCCACTGGTTTCGTCCAGCCCAAGGTCCTCACCACTGGTCCTGTCCAGTCCAAAGTCCTCGCCGCTGGTCCCGTCTAGTACTGAGGCTGCACCTCGCCATCAAGGACGGAGGAGGAGAAGGGCCTCTTATCTCCCCAACACCCCGGTGGTCGTCCCTGTGCAGCATGCGGTCATTTCAGAGGCTGTCCCTGTGCAGCGTGCGGTCGTTTTGGAGGCCGTCCCTGTGCAGCATGCGGTCATTTCAGAGGCCGTCCCTGTGCAGCGTGCGGTCGTTTTGGAGGCCGTCCCTGTGCAGCATGCAGTCATTTTGGAGGGCATCCCAGTGCAGACCGCTGTTGTTCCGGTGGTCCCTGTTCCGGTGGTCCCTGTTCCGCTGGTCCCTGTTCCAGTGGTCCCGAGTCAGGTGGTCCCAGTGCCGGTGGTCCCGAGTCCAGTGGTCCCGAGTCAAGTGTCTGCTGTTCCAGAGCCGGAGCCAGTGTCTGCTGTTCCAGAGCCGGAGCCAGTGTCTGCTGTTCCGCAGCCAGAGCCAGTGCCTGTTCCAGAGCCGGAGCCTGTGTCTGCTGTACCTGAGCCGGAGCCAGCGCCTGTTCCTGAACCAGTGTTTGTTTCTGTGTTTGTGTCTGTTCTTGTGGCTGTTACAGTTTTGGTGTCTGTTCCTGAGCTGGTGTCTGTTCCTGAGCCGGTGTCTGTTCCTGAGCTAATGCCTGTTCCAGAGCCGGAGCCAGTGCCTGCTGTTCCAGAGTCGGTGTCTGCTGTTCCTGAGCCGGAGCCAGTGCCAGTGTGTGTTCCAGAGCTGCAGCCAGTGGCTGTTCTAGAGCCGGAGCCGGTGCCGTCTGTTCCAGAGCTGATGTCTGTTGTTCCAGAGCCGGTGTCTGCTATTCCTGAGCCGGAGCTAGTGCCAGTGTCTGTTCCAGAGCCTCTGCCATGGCCGCCCGAGTGGTCTTCATCACCCTGGCCGCCCGAGGGGACTTCACCGCCCTGGCCGCCTGAAGGGACTTCACCACCCTGGCCGCCCAAGGGGTCTTCACCGCCCTGGCCGCCCGAAGGCTCTTCACCGCCCTGGCCGCCCGAAGGCTCTTCACCGTCCTGGCCGCCCGAGGGGTCTTCACCGCCCCGGCCGCCCAAAGGTTCTTCACCGCCCTGGCCGCCCGAGGGGTCTTCACCGCCCTGGCCGCCCAAAGGTTCTTCACCGCCCTGGCCGCCCAAAGGTTCTTCACCGCCCTGGCCGCCCGAGGGGTCTTCACCGCCCTGGCCGCCCGAGGGGTCTTCACCGCCCTGGCCGCCCGAGGGGTCTTCACCGCCCTGGCTGCCCGAAGGATTCTCTGTTTTGCCCTGGTCCCCGGTTAAGCCCTCACCCCTTGTTCCTGTCTCCCTTCACGGACCTGGCCCACCATCCCTCCCCCTGATCCTCCACCGTTCCACCTCCCTCCTGAACACTTGTATCATGTTTTAGTGTTGTCGTGGAGCGTCTGGTAGCCGCTCCGTAGAGGGGGGGTTATGTCACAGTGTCTGGTTGTGTTCCCTTGTTTATCACTAGAGGGCCTCATTTTCACGGTGTCCTTCACATTTGACTTCAATTCCCAGCATTCTGTCTGTCACTGTCACTCATCAGTTCATTGCACTCAGCTGTTCCCCGTAATCATTGTTCCCAGCTGTTCTGTGTTAGTCTTGTTAGATATGTGTATATATTCCCTGTCTGTGTTAGTATGTGTACGGAGTCGTTGTTAATGTCTTACACTTCTTGGTTTGTTCCTGCCTGTTCTTTGTGTTCGTTGTTCTTGTTTGGATTGCTTGTATGGTATTTGACCCTTGCCTGGACTGGATTACGTTTCACGGATTACCCAATAAATATCTCACTGCACTTGGATCTACTGTCTCTCTCGTGTGTGTCGTGACAACTTCAGTCATTACAAATGGGTTACCATTACCTTATATTATATATATTATGCATTATAATATTAATTATGAACCTGCATATAGTAGTTCTCAGTAGCTAGTGTTCAGTGAGGTATGAAAAATAGTAGGCTAGTAACTGATTAGCTATCATGAACTACCACACTCAACTGAGCGCTATTACTTACTAATTTGATCAGAGTTTCTTGTTAGTTAATAGCAGCTAGAATGTTAATAGTGTGTTACTCATTTGTTCCTGTGTAGTTATTCATTAATGAAGGAACAGTGTCCTAAACCTGTGCTAATCTTACTGTATCCTCCTCAATAACAGAACGTGTGATTTACAGTACAACATCAACACAATAAGTACATTTTACTTTTTTTTTACTTTTTTTTAGGCTCGCTACATAGTAGTGAAAGCACCTAATAGAAAGTGTAACTTTCTCTAATATTTATTTTGGAGTCCAGTAAAGTAATGTTTTCTTTAAAGAGAAAAGTCAGGATAATACTACAGATGTTTGCGAGTATCTGTATATTTAAATGAGTTTGTCCGGCTTGTAGAGATCCTCCTCGGCCATGTCTCCGCCTCTCTGCTGCTCCACTCCAGCATGTTTTCTCCTCCTCCTCCTCCCTTCTTCCACAGTGATTCAGGGCTGTCCCGACAACACGAGCACACACACGGACACACACAGCACACACTGAAGGCTTTGCGAGGTAGATCCACGAGCTGTTGCCCCGCTGCGGGCCGGTCCGTCGGGGAACGATGTGGGTTTGGTACTTTCTGCTCGGTTCGGGCTCGGGTTCGGGATCAGTCGGTGAGTCGCTACGCCAGGCTTCATCCATTGTTTCTCTGAATGTCCTCCGGTAGCGCCATTAGTACAGCAGTCGTTGTAGTGTTTGAGCAGTGCTCAGTCATCGCAGCTGTTGCATTCTTCTACAAACGCACTTTATGTGGCAGCTTGCAACTTTTGTTAGCATTAAGTAACGGGTTAGTGAAGCCGGCATGAATGTGCACGCGCTGCTCGCTCCCGGGGACTTGTTTTCCTTTTAAACGGTTCGTTATGTGAACCAGAGAGAGTTTGTGATTTACTGGGTGTACACAAGAGTTGATATGCGTAGAGTAATGCAGCTAAAACATTAATAAATAAAACAGTTTTAGTGTTTATTTGTTTGAAGCTCGTCAAATAGGCATTATGAATCTATTCAGTGACAATCCCATATTCATCAACATCACACGGTCATGACGTTGCGGGAATAATGTTCAAAACAGTAATGAGATCTAGTGTGTCGAGCACATAACAGTGTGTGTATCTGCTGAAGGTCACCTAAACACCATTGGCCAGATAAACAATAACCTACTGACTATTTAGACTAATCAAATAGACTAAAAAGAGTAGTTTTTTTTATTTAGATTTTGATAACACAGCATTAGGGTTAAATATGTTGCAAACATTATCAGCTTCTTGTGCCTAAACTCAAGCAACATGAATTAGAATGGTTTTATTGGAGCGGAAGTCTTTTAATGGTCTGACAGATCTAGATCAGTTTTATGTTTGAAATATTTTGGCTTTGTACTCTTTTCTTCTCAAAGTTGCTGTGTGTTCAGTTGGACGGCCGTATCATGAAAGAGATTTCTGAGACAAGCTTTCCAACCCGATCTCCTGGCACTGCGCATCTGTATGACAGGCTCTTTATATGCAAACATTACCTTTTACATGCATGATTTCTCAATCCACAACACATTTACACACATTTCACATGCGTCTGATATGCAGTATTCAGTTACATTTCATTAATCGATCAGCAGGAAGCGGCAGAACTTTTAAAGCCCACTGAGACAACTCAAATGAACCAAATGGATTTTAAATCAATAAAGTAAGAGGAATTATTATTATTATTTCATATTTATTTGTCAGGGACTATGCATATAAAAGTATTATCTCACAAGAGAAGAGATGCTTTGCTACAGATTTACTTGCTAATTTCCTTCTGCAGTCCCTGGACAAGTAAATATTGCAAATAAAATTACAGAAATGCATGAAAATACATGTACACAGTGCCGTATCTATGCAAAGGCATGTGCTTATGACAATTACATTGAGGAGAATATATATATATATATATATATTATTTGTATTATTTCACTCTAATGCTAAAACTCAGTAAGACAATTGCTATCTAAAATGGATGCAATTTTAAATATTGGGCAGAAACCTTGTATTTCCATATTTCGTAATTCCCCCCCCCTAAATTATTGTATTGTTAACCCTTTAATTCTGTCTGTGCGTTTTACAAATATTTAACCAATGAAACGTTTAAAAAGAGCTTGTGACTAAACCTCATAAATCCATTTGGTCCTCAAATTAGCTGTTTCCATCCACCTATTTTTATGCGCACTTTGGGATATTGCATTAATAACTGCTGGATGGAAACGCCAAGATGCACATCAATTCTAAAAATGTGCATAAAAAACATACGTGCTTGTTTGAGTTGGATAAACTACTACATCGCATAAACTACGATGGAAACACATTTGCCGAATAAATTCTTTTATGCACTTCAAAAAAGTCATGTGGCTTTGGGACGAAGGGACAGCATAACTGGATAATCTAATGCTATAATCCACACTCTATAGAATGAGTTAATCTCTGCATCTTTAATAGTTAAACATTTTAAATGAAGTAAAAAATCTTCCAATGAGTTACTCATGTAATACCTTGTATGCAAAGATGTTAGCCAATAGCAGTGGGCGTTTGCAGTGAAGTGTTAAAGAGACACGCCCCTTTAATCAGCCTGTAAATCTAATACTATTAGCATTACAAGTGTGCGCCTCAGGAAACATGATACTATTAAATCATGCCGTTCATGATCCCTGTGCCTAAAACACGGAAGCCTTTTCCACTTGTGAATCTCCTGCTGTCGGTCCTGTCCATGATATCAGCGCATCTCTCAGACCTTGGCCAATGATGTCACGGTGTGCTCATCTGGGAAGTGGGATGTTTGCAAACAGTAACCTTGCAGTGTCCGAGTGAGTGTCGTCGATGAAATGACCAAGGAGAGCTATGGCTCCGATGCTCTCCTGGACCATAATCAGTTGTTGTGGCAAAAATGTAAAACCTTCCACAGTTAATTCGCCAGAGTTTGGTGACATGAATCATACAATTTATGGCGAGCCGTTTGACTGAAAGATTTCTGTCCAGGCAGTGTTTCTTGGGTCTAAAGTATTCAGTGTTTCCTCTAGGATTTTTTCCAGCCGTGGTGGCAGGCCCATTTCACCAGGGGGAGGGGCGTGGCCCATGAGTGATATTCCCATTGGCCACGCCCCCTTATTCCAGGTGTTTAAACCTCCCCTAAGCATTATAACATGAAAGGCGCCAATAAGAGCGGCAAAGCGTGCGCAGAATGATGCACTTGAAGTAACGCAAAGTCACAGCGTGCAGCGCTCCGCATTGAAAGGTTCAAAGCACAAAGCGAAGAGATTATATCTGCTTAATGTATTATATCTATGCAACAGTTTATTAAGCCTTTTCTTTTAACAGTTTTAAATTTCAGTTAACTTACAGTGCGCATGTACAACAATTCATAGTGCTCTCTACTCTAGTGCTGTAGTAACAGACACCCGGGAGAAAGGAATGTGATTTAGAAAGCGCTATAAACTCCAGCAAGATAAAGTAATTTTATGCAAACTATAGACCTTTATCTACAAATATAGTATAAAGGGAACATTGATCTTGAAGAGAGTGTCGTCGTGTTACTGTCGTAACCGAACGCGACGCGCTGTTTGAATGCTGAATGGAGAATGACTGAGGAGAGATGAGTTTCTTATTTATACATTTTTACCTCACATTATGCTATTGAATGACTTTAGAAGTCTTGGAATATAGTGTGAAAACTTTATGGTGCTCTACAATGTTTTGTATGCCTTTAGTGGGGCTTAACAATAACACAAACAATATCGGACCGAGAAGCTGCAGCCGTGGCGGGATGATTTTAGGTGTGGCGGCCCGCCACGGCAGAATGAATGTAGCGGAAACACTGGTATTCAAAAGATGCTTGAAACTCTCTCTCTCAACCTCTTGAATTGGAACCATGTCTTTTGCGATGTAATAGGTGACAGCTTTATGTCGTAAGACGCTTTTTTGCCTAAGGGTGTACTCACACTAGGCACGGTTGCCATGAACCGGGCCCGAGTACGATTGTCCCCCCTCCCCACTCCCCCTCTGGCCTGCACTCACATAGGGTTTCAGCATTCGTGCCGGAGCACGCTTACGTCATTATGGTGCGACGGTTTCGGGATAAACAAGAAGAGCGGCGCTCTCTGAACACAATGGAGTCCATCGCTCTGTTTTCTTTGTGGATAATAATACTGTGCCCGCAGTTTTTTTACCTTGTCTCTACACTGCTTGGTAGTTCTTTGATATCCATGACGAAGAAGATAGTCACGGATTTTTCTAAATATATCTGAGTTTTAATGCGTTCCAGCTGTTCTTGTATGCTCTCATCTGCCCAAATTTCCAACAAGCATTGCACCTCTGCCGTAGACCAAAGCGACCCTTTCCCCGCCATGTTGGTTTTGGAGCGTCGCAAAACCATGACGTCACGCGTCCTGTTCCGTGCTCCAGCACGGTTAGCGCTCACACTGCATGCGAACCGCGCCCGAGTCCAATTGAACCGTGCTCTGGCCCACCTCTTCCAAGCGGGCCAGGGCCGGCTAATCGAGCCGCCCCCGGGCACGGTTCGGAGCACTCACACTAGTCAAACGAACCGGGCTTTGGTGGTCAAACGCACTCGGGCACGGTTCAAACTGGCTAGTGTGAGTACACCCTAAGTTTGCTGTGTGTTTTTGTGAGGTTACCCTGGATGTACAGTTGACTCACGAAGCTTTTCAAATTTGTCATATTGTGCAATTCGCTGCATTGATCATAAGCTGCCGGAAATGGAAGAGACTGAGTTAGCATTGCTTCTCGCATCGCTGCATTATTGACATGGACTCGCTGAAGTTATACTCATGTGACTGACTCCAGAACAAGTTCAGATGAGATCTGCACTCCAAGGATATCAAGAGAAGATCAAGCATCCACGTCACAGCTGGCCATAATATACTTCTGATTCATCTCTGAATGTCTTCACATGGCTCATTGTTCTCACTGTTTTAAAGCTTTTAGGTTATTGGCAACAAACTTGTTGCTAAGGTTGTCCGTTTTGCTTCTAGTCGTTTTCAGTAAAATGCTTGTGCTCAGCTTATGCGATCATATTGGCAATGTGCATTACTTAAAGGGATACTCCACTTTTTTTGGAAATAGGCTCATTTTACAACTCCTCCAGAGTTAAACTGTTCAGTTTTACCGTTTTTGAATCCATTCAGCCGATCTCTGGTTCTGGCGGTACCACTTTTAGCATAGCTTAGCATACATCATTGAAGTGGACAAGACCATTAGCATTTCTAAAAAAAAAATGACCAAAGAGTTTCGATATTTTTCCTATTTAAAGGTGCTCTAAGCGATGTCATGTGTTTTTTAGGCCAAAACATTTTTTGTCACATTCAGCAAACATCTCCTCACTATCCGCTGGCTGCCTGTCCCCTGAACACACTGTAAAGAAACGCGATCTCTGTAGACAGCCCATGCTTCACAAACAGCACCAAAAACAAACTGCAGCGACCCGCTCCCCAAAACATAACAAACTGTTCCAGCCAATGACCGACAAGAAGGGTTTGGGGGTGGGGTTTGGGGGGTTAGTGTGCGGATGAGGAGGAGGGAGGGTCTAGCTAGCCTCCGTTTTGTTTGACAATAGTTCGAACGTCAACAAGAAGTGA